TGAAATTGAAACATTTCATAAGCAAACACCAAACTCATAACATTTCAGAACGGCAAGGGACCTCAGAAACAGATCACCAGCTCGATTCTCCTCATTTTAAAGATGAGAAAACTGAGGCCAAGAATGGCAAAGAAATCCACTCAGGCCCACAGTTGCACAGACCAGTACAAAGACCAGGATGAATCTCACACACCCTTCTCCATGCAGCGTGATCCCAGGCTCTGCAGCTTCAGGCTGGACTCTTCCCCTCGCCACCACTTCAGAGAACCCATGAAACATCTTCATGACCTGCAGCCTCTTGCCAAGCACAAAACTCGCTACGTGATGATCTGCCAAACATGGCAAAGCCTGACAAACCTTCCTCTGAACACGCCCACTTCTATTCTTCCTGCTGTTTACCAAAAATAAAGTGCTACAAAACAATAGGTTCTGTCTAATGCTACTCTATGTATTAAAAACAGTGTCAATACAGAAAAAAACAATGGAGAACACAAAATATTTATAGTATTTACAATGTGGGTAATAGAAGTGGGTTACAGGATTACAGTTAATTTTTTCCTTCTGGCTTATCTATATTTTCTAATTTTCCCTCTAATAGTAATTTTTCCTTCAGGACTTGCATAATTTTTAAAAAGACAAAAACAACAATAAAAGCATTTTATTTAGGAACTCTAGAGTGTCACACTACCGCAGTCTGCCGTGTGCCAGGGAATGTCTCAGAGGCCACTTCTGGCTGAGGGGGAGGTGCAGCGGGTGTTTTCTGGGGAGCCCACCTCCTCTCATTGCCTCTAGCAGGACTGGTTTCCGGTTCATCACCAGTACACATGTAACTTTACCAGAGAAAGGATGGCGAGCTTATTTTCATCCCAATTTTCCACTTTTACATGTCCTTCCTATTCAGAATAGGCAGAGAGCTTATTTACAGACTGCGTGGTTTAAGAGGAAGGTTTACAGCTTTACAACTTACAGACTGCGTGGTTTAAGAGGAAGGTTTACAGCTTTACAACTTACAGACTGTGTGGCTTAAGAGGAAGGTTTCCACCCACAGCCACCACAGGAGACAATCAGAACAGACCCCACAGAGATCAGAAAACCTATTTTGCTGCAGGGACTGACTTGTTCATGAAGGTCATTTCCGTAATACCTGAGCCATTGCCGGCCTCTCCAGGATCTGATTATACATAAACACCCAAGTGGGCACCCTAAAGTGTAGAGCCAAGTCCTGGTGCAGCTCCAGGGAAATGCCCTTGAATGCAAAGGCAAAGCTGTGCCCTCGCCATTTGCCACTTAGACAATAAAAATGATGTTGCGGGCTGGGTGCAGTGGCTCACGCCTGTAATCCCAGCACTTTGGGAGGCTGAGGCGGGTGGATCACGAGGTCAAGAGATCGAGACTATCCTAGTCAACATGGTGAAACCCCGTCTCTACTAAAAATATAAAAAATCAGCTGGGCATGGTGGCACGTGCCTGTAATCCCAGCTACTCAGGAGGCTGAGGCAGGAGAATTGCCTGAACCCAGGAGGCGGAGGTTGCGGTGAGCCGAGATCGCCCATTGCACTCCAGCCTGGGTAACAAGAGCGAAACTCTGTCTCAAAAAAAAAAAAAAATTAGCTGGACATGATAGTGTGTACCTGTAATCCCAGCTAATCACTAGGCTGAGGCAAGAGGAAGAGGTTGCAGTAAGCCGAGATTGAGCCATTGCACTCCAGCCTGCGTGAGAGGGTGAGACTCTGTCTCAAAAAAAAAAAAAAAAATGTTTTGCATCAACAGCAGGGAATTCTGGGGGAGCTACTGCGTCTTGGCTGCTTTTCCTGGCAAAGTCATCCCAAGCCCTTGTTATAACCTGTTTTGGCCATTTGTTGCCACTTCTTTCTATGTTTTGCAAACTAAATATGAAGAGTTGGTATTCTAACAAATCTGTCCTTTTTACCATCCCTATTTCAGAAAAAAAAGAACGCCCCAGAATAAGTTTGGAAAAGCAACCAATCTCAGTCTTAGTAATAACTGTATTAAACATATCTTAATGCCCGACAAAAATATTCTAAAATACCATCCATAAAGCAAGTGCTCAGTGCCTAGGTGTACACTGCAAGTGAAATCTGCCAAGTGACTTCAGGTCTGCAAGAGCGTCCTTTCCTCACCAGTTCTTCCTCTACATTAGTGTAGTAGCAAGACGCAATCCTCTATGGTTAAGTTTAAAAACAAACAACAAAGAAACTGGCAACAGGGGGCTGTGCAAGACTACCATGTACCTCTCAGACTGAGACCAGGCCTACCCACTGACCTGCAGAGCTGTCAGTGAAAAAGAGAAGCTAAAAACCTGCACGTGCATTATACTTTTAAAAATGTGTATACAGACTTAGGAATAGCAGAAGAACAGGAAGAACACAGGCCCGCAGTTAATACGGTTCAGAGTAACGGGGACGATCAGTGACTTTTAAGTCTCACTACTGCAAACGAATTTTTGCAAGATATAAAAAGCAACAATTAGACAATCTCTGTCAACTTTAACCCGAGTAAATTTCTCCAACGAAGGTGTGGGAACCTCTAAGACAGAGCCTTCTTCGAGGGCTCCATCTCCATCTCCGAGCTTCGGACCCCTCCTGCGTGAAGCAGGCATCGTCGGTGATTTTCTTCTAAGCAGTGCACACACAAAAGTCTCACAATTCCTTGCAGATTACCAAGCTCACCCGCTTCCAACCCACAAGGCTGCCCAGGCCTGGTTCCAGTCCCATTTTCTTCCACAGGCTGCTGCAGGAAAACAAAGGGTTGCGGGGGGCAAGGGCGGGGAGCACCGGCTCGGCAGCCAGCGCGGAAGCGCACGGCCAGAAAGAGGCCGGGGACCTCTGCCAGGCTCCCGGGCTCAGCATCCTATGCGGGGGACTGCAGACCCTGCCAGGCGCGCGCTCCCAGAAGAGCGGACCTGTGGGCGCGGCCCTGGGCAGGGGACGCCCGGCCCCCGCCGGCCGCAGCTCCCAGGCGACTGCCCAGTCCGCTGTGCCTGGCCGCAGGCCTGGGAGGCACTCGGGCAGCGCCGGGCGGGCCGCCCCGCAGCGAGACCCCCGCGGGCGCCGCTTGGGGACAGGGGCCCCCTTGGCGGGCCCAGGCGCGCAGAGCGGGGCGGCGCCTCACCTTGGGGTCGCGCTCGTAGTAGTGCTGCTGCGTGCGGATCCAGCGGCCCACCAGGTGGTCGCGCACCGTGTGCGCCAGCGCGAAGAAGTAGTCGCGGGGCGTGGCCACGTTGCGGTCCTTGACCAGCGTGAAGTGCAGATGCCGGTTGAAGCTCTTCCGCACCTCGGCCACGTCGCCCAGCCCCGCCAGGCCGCGCACGCTGATCTGCTTTCGCTTCTCGCTGTCCGTGAGCGGCTTCGCCATCTCGCCGGCCGAGACGGAGGAAAGGAGATGGAGGAGGAGAGCGGCAGGAGACGCGAGCACCGGGAATGCTGCAGCGGCTCTGGCGCCCGGCACTGCGGTTCTGCGGGCGGGACGGGCCGCGCCTGCGCGCTGCGCCGGGCCGGGGCGGGGCCTCCGGGGAGGCGGGGCGGGGCCTCCCGGGGAGGGGCGGGGCCTCCGGGGGCGGGGCGGGCGTCCAGATTCATCAAAGCTGAGAGCGCAGGTGTCTTCCGAGACCGCAGCTCCACCTGCCCACGCCACCTGAGAGTGGGGTTTGCCTCCCCGCTGGGCAAGCCCGACAGAAAGTGGGAGCGACCGGGGGGGGTGGGCAAGAGACCCGGGGCCTCCGAGCGTGCGGTCCTGGCCGCTCCTGCCAGCCCGGGGGCGGTGCGGGAAAGGGGCCCAGCCCTCCGGCCCTCGAGGGGTTACTGCGGCCGGCGCTGCCTGCGCCCGGTCAATGGCTGCCCCGCGGGAGCGCTGGGCCCCGGCTGTGGCCGCGGCCTGGTAAACGTTCGAAAAACTGATTACAGCTTGGTGAAAGGCCTTCACCAACACTGCTGGGCCCGGTCCCCTGCGTCCGGGGCAGGGCGGCTCTGAAAATACCAGCTATCTGCCTGCCGCTCCAGGCCGACGACAGACGTGGAGAAAACCAGCTGCCGGTGAGCTGGAGACGCCCGTTCCCGAGGGCGCGAGGCGGTCCCAGCCAAGTGCCACCACGACCCCTCCTCGGAGGGACTGCGGCCCCGTAGCCCTCCAAGAAACCCTGCTCCCGAAAACACCCTCTGGCAGTCGCTGTGCGCTTTGAGATTACAGCAGGGAGAAGGAAACATGCCTGTCTGGCCGGGGAGCTCAGCCCCTGACCGAGACTAGCCTCCTCCATCCCAACCCAGGCTGGAGCTCCAGATAGCGGGCATCTGCACACAGCTTCCCACACTTGGTCCCCAAGGAGCACATCCCTGCTTGCCTCAGCCTGTGGGAACCCTGCTTCAAGTAAAGTTCGCCTAAACTCCGCCTTCCCCCAATCCCGTAAGAACTCTGCCTTTCCCTACGTTCTTGGGAGGCTCTCCCTCATTGCAGTGGGTCAGTAAACCCGATTTTGTGGGACTCCAGGTTTGCTCCTGGTGGTCTTGGGCTGAAGGGGCTACAAAGGTTACTGAATTTCATGGAAGTACAAACTGCCCGCAGGAGCTGCCATAAAAGTCCAGGTCAGTAGTTTTCCTACTGTGATGCTTCCAAAGTTACCGTCTTACCTGGAGCCCCTTCCAGCTGCAGACTTCAGAGGCTGAGGTTAGTCAATCTGGAATGACCCCACAGCCCACCCAGCTGCAGCTCGGGGATTCACTTCTTCACTATATCCTAGGGATTCTGGAGCCAAAAAGATGGAACTTTGGGCACAGATGGCAGGGCTGTGGGGGTGAACTTGACTGCAAGCTGTTTACACTGATGCAATCTCTCTGATGGTGATCTGGCAATTCAGAAGTCATAAAAACCATGGTGCCCTATGACCACTCCTACCACTCTGGGGAACAGATTTCAAGGAAAGCTTCAAAAAACAAAAAGCAAGTTGTGCAAAGATGTTTTCCGCTGCGGTGTAGTAAAGGTTCATCCCCCAGCTGGGGTGCACACCTGGCAAAGAATGGAGGAGCTGATACTTATTGACCATGACTTGCACTGTACATGTGTTAACTTCTGACCCCTGCAAATAGCCTGCTACTATCCCCCCGCTTGACAATGGAAAAGGTGAGCCACAGAGAAGTCAGCTCTTCCCTAACACCACACAGCTAATAAGGGAAGCAGCCAAGCCCTGCTCCACTGCACACGCCTGGAGCAGTGTATCTATTCTCAAAGTTAACATCATAAACCACTGTACTGCTAAAAGGAATGACTAATTGTTTTTTGTTTTTTTTTTTTGAGATGGAGACACTGATTTGTCACCCAGGCTAGAGTGCAGTGGCTCGATCTCAGCTCACCACAACCTCCGCCTTTCGGGTTCAAGTGATTCTCTTGCCTCAGCCTTCCAAGAGCCTGGGATTACAGGTACGAGCCACCATGCCAAGATAATTTTTGTATTTTTAGTAGAGACGGGGTTTCACCGTGTTGGCCAGGCGGTCTCAAATCCTGACTTCGTGATCCACCTGCCTCGGCCTCCCAAAGTGCTGGGATTACAGGCATGAGCCACTGTGCTCGGCCTAAGTCCTTTCTTTTCTAGCTACACTTTATGAAATTTTCCATGATCCTACGAAAGGCCCCAGGAGAAGGTTCAGTTAGGCTTCTGAACCTTCTCCTGGGGCCATTATACACTTCCTTTTGACATCCGTTTTAGCAATCCCTGTTTTGTCAGTTTAGCAAGGACTCCCTGCCCCTGATATCTCATCCCCCTCGGTGGCATCTGATCAGGCTCCCCATGCTCCACCATCCCCCATGATGTCCTATCTCCCTGGCCTGCCTTCAGCAGGAATTCTGTGAGGTGGTTTAGCCAGAATCCCCCAGGCCCCTGAAGTGTCCTCTTAGTAACTGTCCATCCACTGACCCCTCCCTATGGTCCCTGGCTATAAATTCCCACTTGCTCATGCTGTTTTCAGAGTTGAGCCCAGTCTCTCTCCCCTGCTGTAAGACCCAGTTGCAGTGGTCCCGGTACCTGTCCTGATGGTCATGAATAGTCTGGTGCCATGCTTTAACAAATGCTATTGAATTTTTTTTTTAACACCTATCTTACCAGATGTAATTTCTTCTTCCTGGGAGCTGCCATGGTCCTTCGCCCCTCCTGTGGCACTTAGGGCAATACTGAATCTTCATGATATGACCCTTCATGATGTGCATGGTTGACACAGGGAGGGGCCTTCTCCCCATCATGTCTCCTCACCTCCCCTGGCCACTGATATCACTGGAGTGGCTAAACAATCCCCAGGATTATCTCAGCCATTTTCAAATAAATTGTTTATTATTTATTATTATTATTATTTTTTTTTGAGATGGAGCCTTGCTCTGTCACCCAGGCTGGACTGCAGTGGTGCAATCTCAGCTCACTGTAAACTCCACCTCCCAGGTTCAAGCAATTCACCAGCCTCAGCCTCCCATGCAGCTGCGATTACAGGCACCCACCATCACACTTGGTTAATTTTTGTATTTTTAGCAGAGACAGGGTTTCACCATGTTGCTAGGCTGGTGTTTAACTCCTGACTTCAGGTGATTCGCCGGCTTCAGCCTCCCAAAGTGTTGGGATTATAGGCGTGAGCCACTATGCTGGCCATCATTTTCAAATAAATAATTTTTAGATAGTTTTAAGTGTTGTGAAGAAGAGCAAGTTGAGCAGTTAGTTATAGGAGGTGATATTTGAGCTGAGACTCAAAAAAATAAAGGCATGGACTGGGTGCAGTAGCTCACCCCTGTGATCTCAACACTTTGGGAGGCTGAGGCGGGCAGATCACTTGAAGTCAGGACTTTGAGACTAGCCTGGCCAACATGGTGAAACCCTGCAATTACTAAAAATACAAAAATTAGCCGTCCCAGCTACTTGGGAGGCTGCGGCAGAAGAATCACTTGAACCCGAGAGGTGGAGGTTGGAGTGAGCATTCCAGCCTAGGCAACAGAGCAAGATTCCATCTCAAAAAAAAAATAATAAAAATGAAGGAATGAATGAATCTGGGGAAACAGCAAATGCAAAGGTCCTGAGGTGGGCACCTACTTGGACAGTTCACAAAAGAGGCATCTGAGGGGCACTGGGATATGCCACCCCAAAATATGCCTGTTTGCATGTGGATGTTAAAGGCCATTAGTTAGTTAAAGGCCATTAAGAACTAGCAGACTGGCTGGGCGCGGTGGCTCACGCCTATAATCCCAGCAGTTTGGGAGGCTAAGGCGGGTGGATCACGAGGTTAAGAGATCGAGACCATCCTGGTCAACAAGGTGAAACCCTGTCTCTACTAAAAATACAAAAATTAGCTGGGCATGGTGGTGTGCGCCTATAGTCCCAGCTACTCAGGAGGCTGAGGCAGGAGAATTGCTTGAACCCAGGAGGTGGAGGTGCGGTGAGCCGAGAACGTGCCACTGCACTCCAGCCTGGGTGACAAGAGCGAAACTCCGTCTCAAAAAAATAAAGAACTAGCAGACCACAGGACAAGCTCTAAAAACTGTTTTCATTTTGTAAAAGAAATTCACATTTATTATAAAGGAAATTTCCATGTCTCCCTCTCCCATGCAAGGAAGATGATATCTTGTAACAACTCTTATTAATGGAAGAAGGTAGTGACTTAAATCTGTGTAGCAAAGCTTCCTCAACAACCCTTGCTGGTAAATACTTTTCCTGGTCATCTTCTGCTGAGGTTTGAATATCCCCTCCAAAACTCATGTTGAAATTCAGTTGCCATTGCGTAAGAGGTAGCACTGCTCAGAGGTGATTAGGCCGTGAGGGCTCCACCCTCAAGAATAGATTAATGCCGTTGTGGGGGTGGCTTGTTATAAAAATGAGTTTGGCCCGAGGGAAGGCCCAACTACGTCGTCCCGTGGAAGGCCCTAACCCGATGCCAGTGCCATGTCTTGGACTTCCCAGTCTTCAGAACCATGAGCCAGATAAGACAGTTTTTTAAAAAGTAAGTTACACAGTCTGTGCCATTCTGTTACGGCAGCACAAAATGGACCGAGACACCTTCCCATAACATGCCTCCCCTGCCCAGAAGCTCCAGGCCTTTTCCTTTGTATCAGCCTAGGATGACAGATGAGCTAAAGTTCTGAGCACATTTTGGGTTACTCATTGTCAGGTACCGTAAGTGCAATGCACATGCCAATAAACTTGTTTCTCTCTTGCCTGATTGAATTGCCTTTGGCTGGTGTAATTAAAAGGCCCCTAGCTGGAGACCCTAACATAGGCCGGAGAAAAGATTTTTTTCCTTCCCTAAATAACCAAGAGGTGGATTCAGCTTCATCATTCATTTTAGCAGCAAAACTGCCAGGCTTCAGCACAGGCAAAATAGAAAGAAATTGGGCAATGCTTTCATTTTTCTTTAAAGCTGAAAAGCAGGTTTGCCCCTCTAAGAGGAAGGACTGTTCTGGCAGCCTGGATCAGAGCGGTGACCAGGCCAAAGATCTGCTCACCTCAGCATCGGGGAACCCGTGTTCCAGACTGTCCTCTATGCCTCTGTCTTCTCTGTTTGGGAGGTCATCTAAAAAAGTTCAGTTGCTAAGAAGGGATAGACGTTGGTTCTGATTTAGTTACTGTTGTAGTGAGCTATTCTGTGTTGTTGGAGACAATACATTACCTTTTAAGTTCTTTTATCTTTTTTTTGCTTTGTTTTGTTTTTTTGAGACAGGGTCTTATGGTGTTGCCCAGGCTGGAGAGCACTTATGTGATCACGGCTCACTGTAGCCTCAATCTCCCAGACTCAGGTGAGCCTCCCACCTCAGCCTCCCAGGTGTCTGTAACTACAGGTGCATGCCATCACGCCCAGATGATTTTTGTATTTGTTACACAGACAAGGTTGTTGTCTAGGTTGGTCTTGAACTCATGGGCTCAAGCCATCCACTCAACTCAGTCTCCCAAAGTGTTGGGATTACAGGCACCAGCCGCTGTGCCCAGCCTAAAGTTCTTTTAAATAGGTATTTAAGATTCAGTCTGTAGCAAGTCCCCTGTCCTCTGCCTCACAAAAAGAGACAAACGATGTCTTGTAAATGGAATAAGATGCTGTGGGACTTAGAAGTGGGGTGTGGGAAACAGACGTTTTTGGTCTGCCTAGGCTTAGGCTTCTTGAGGACCTGAAGAGTGTCTCATCGATTGCTGGTAAAATGAGTGACTGAGAAGCACCGCTGGCCCTTGAGAACGCAGGTGCAGAGGGAAAATCTTTCTGGGATCCCAGCAACGCCTCTGGCAGATCTGTGCTGGTCAATTTCATGTTTGCAAATGAACACAGACCCAGGCTTTCAGGAAACGGAGATAAATAAGAAATACATTATTTTTGAGAGGCTGGTAATTATAAAACTCAAAGTCATAAGGAGCCCACCAGCTGGAATGACACTGGAAATGATGCCCTCCCTCCACTGGGGTGTGTCAACAGATATTCCTAGTGACATTTGTGATTTTAACACACTGACAAAGGAAAAATACTCCATGAGACCAGAGCGATACTAAGAAAAAACGAAATGGAGATGGGGAAGAAGGAAGCCGCTCCTCTCTTCGGGACGCGGAGTCAACGCAGGGGAAGGTGTGAGAACCACTGGACGACGGCCACAGAGGAACAGGGGATTAACTCCTTCTCACATGACCTTAGTAGCTATAAGAGGGAAAGGGATTTGCAGCGGAGAGGTATGGCAGACTCCAGTGTCATGCAGTGACGAAACTTAGCCGCCCAGGGGACAAACCCTAACTGAGCCTGATTCCGTGCACTGAGAAGAACGAAGGTCACTTACGCGGCTGTAACATAACGCAGTGTATTACACACAACATATGCAGTGTATTATATTACACAGTAACACACTGCAGGCCTCTAGGACACAGCTTATAGAAGCACAAATGGTACTTGAGGCAAACTTACAAATCAAAACTTTCCATAGGGCTTGTGACTAGCACATTCCCAAAGCCGCAAACCCAAAATCCCACCTGCTTAGTGAGCACCTCTGGGACATTATTATTATTATTATTTTCAGATAGAGTCTCACTCTGTGGTCCAGGCTGGAGTGCAGTGGCACGATCTTAGCTTACTGCATTCTCCGCCTCCTGGGTTCAAGCGATTTCTCCTGCCTCAGCCTCCCCAGTAACTGGAACTACAGGCACTTGCCACCATGCCTGGCTAGTTTATTTATTTTTAATTTTTTTTAGTAGAGACGGGGTTTCACTGTGTTAGCCAGGATGGTCTCGATCTCCTGACCTCGTGATCCACCCGCCTCGGCCTCCCAAAGTGCTGGGATTACAGGCGTGAACCACTGTGCCCAGCCCAGGACATTTTTTTTACTGTGCAATGTGTGAATCTCTGCAGCTGGGCAGGCTACCTTTCTAACCCAGAGGCCTGGTTCTAGCAGGACTTCCCCAGTGTGCGGGTGGGGGTGCAGGGGCTCTTGGGGGGCTTCAAGGCATCTGTGAAGGCACCTAACCGCTGCTACTGAATGACTGCGAGATGAGTTCCAGAGCTGGGGCTAGAGTAGACCTGGCACCCTGCCGCAGCCCTCCCCTAACAGGAGATAGTGAGGAACAGGTGAGCTAAAGAGACAGCAAGCTGGTCACACTCCAGGGCCACAACCCTGCTGTCTTCTGAGCCAGAAACATTTCCTGACTTTGGGGAGAGGGGAGATGTGAAATGGGACCACCCTGAGAGCTGTGGTGGTCACTGTGAAGCTGAGCACTGGACTGCACTCCCCGCTGCCCTAGAGTGACCAGGCGAGTGGTTTCATCCACGGGGCAGGACTCAGAGGGCCGGGCCGAGCCACCGATGATGTGCGTGTCTGCAGCCCAGCACTTCCTGCTCAGTCAGTGTCAGGCCTGGGATGAAATCAGCACTGAGACACTCAGGGGTCCTCCCACACATCTGGTTAGCATCGCACTGAGTGGAAGGAGCCAGTGCACCTGCCAGCATCGCACTGAGTGGAAGGAGCCAGCACACCGGCAGGGCTCACCGCCTCTCCAGATGAAGCGCCAGGTTCACACTGAGAAAGCCTGGCTCTCTCCAGCTGGTCTGAATTAAGTGAGAAAGATGAGCGCAGCACCTGTGGAAGTAGCTCTAGAAAACAGTGTCCCTAGGAACTGCTTCTGCGCCACCCAAGTGTGCAGACAACCCAGGAGGAGTCCTCCATCTGGCCACCTCCCTCCCACCCCGAGGGGACAGCAGCTCAGTGAGACCCCGACGCCACCAGCAAACAACCCATCCTTTGTTCCTCACACGCCAGCTCCGTCTGCACTGCACCGACTGCTGGCCAGGCACTGAGCTTCACATCCACACAAAACACAAAGACCTACCCACCCAAAGCTCGTGGTGAATTGTCATCATGTTTAGTTGTGTTGGAGGAGGGGCCTGATGGGAGGTGACTGGATAAAGGGGCAGATTTCTCATGAATGGTTTAGCACCACCTCCTTGATGCTGTTCTTGAGATAGTGAGTTCTCTCAGGTTAAAAGTGTGTGCCCCACCCCTGCCCCATGCCTTGCTCCCGCTCTGGCCATGTGATCTGCCTGCCTCCCACCGTAGCCTTCTGCCATGATTGTAAGATTCCTGAGGCCTCCCCAGAAGCCGAGCAGACATCGGCACTGTGCTTCCTGTACCGTCTGCAGAACCATGAGCCAATTAAACCTCTTTTTTTTTTCTTTACTTTCTTTCTTTTTTTTTTTTTGCCAATGTGTTTGAGCTTATGAGGTTAGCCTTGAACTGATGACCTCGCCTTCGCAAGTGTCACGACCTCCGGCGGGAGCCACTTTGAACCCCCTACTTTCTTTCTTTTTTGAGACTGAGTCTTGCTCTATCCCCAGGCTGCAGTGGCACCGTCTCACCTCACTGCAATCTCTACCTCCCAGGTTGAAGTGATCCTCCTGCCTCAGCCTCCCCAGTAGCTGGGATTACAGGCATGCGCCACCATGCCCAGCTATAAACCTTTTTTTTTTTTTTTGAGACAGAGTCTTGCTCTGTTGCCAGGCTGGAGTGTAGTGGCATGATCTCAGCTCACTACAACCTCTGCCTCCCAGGTTCAAGCGATTCTCCTGCCTCAGCCTCCCAAGTAGCTGGGATTACAGGCATGCACCACCATGCCCAGCTAAGTTTTGTATTTTTCGTAGAGACGGGGTTTCACCACATTGGCCAGGATGGTCTCGATCTCTTAACCTCAAGTGATCCACCTGCCTTAGCCTCCCAAAGTGCTGGGATTACAGGTGTGAACCACGATACCCAGCCTAAACCTTTCTTCTTTCTTTTTTTTCCTGAGGGAGTCTTGCTCTGTCACCCAGAACTGGAGTGCAATGGCACAATCTTGGCTCACTACAACCTCTGCCTCCCAGGTTCAAGCAATTCTCCTGCCTCAGCCTCCCAAATAGCTGGAATTGCAGGTGTGTGCCACCATGCCCAGCTAATTTTTGTACTTTTAGTAGAGATGTGGTTTCTCCATGTTGGCCAGGCTGGTCTCAAACTCCTGACCTCAGGTGATCGCCTGCCTCAGCCTCCCACAGTGCTGGGATTACAGGCATGAGCCACTGCGTTTAGCTGCCTCTTTTCCTTGTAAATTACTCAGTCTCAAGTATTTAGAGCAATGTAAAAATGGACTAATACAACCTTATGGTTCTGGAGGCTGAAAAGTCTAAGGATGGAGTGTCCTTCTCGGTGTGTGATCAAGATGCCGGCAGGTTTGGGGTCTGGTGAGGCCCTTCGCTTCTTCCACAGTGTCCTTTTGTAAGGTGTGTCCTCCAAAGGGGAGGAAGCCCACATGCTCACATGGCAGAAGGTGAAAAGCCAAGAGAGAACCCACTCCCAAGCCCTTTCACTAAGGCATTAAATCTACTATAAGGGTGCAGCCCTCCTACCGTGATCGCCTCTTAAAGACCCCACCTCCCAATACCATTACGCTGGCAATGGAATTTCAACACGGGTTCTGGAGGGGAAGGCAGTCAAACCCTTGTACCTTCTGGGGACCTGTGGGACCCGCCCAGCCTGCCAGCCTGCCTGGGCTCCACCTCCTTCCTTAGCCTGTGTCTCCGCGGCCCGCAGTTCCCTCAAAGCTGCTCTCCACCTCCAGCCTCCCAGGCTGGTATGACAGATGTTCTCCTCAATCCAAACCCTACAGCAAATGCTGGAGATTCGAATTCAGTCCTCTCTTGTCAGGGCTGACAGTGTCAACTGGAGCCCCTGTCCTTTGGGATGCCTGTGAAATGGCCCTGAATATCTCAAGTTGGAACCCCTCAACATCACTTTGGGAGTGTCCTTGATGTCACCCACTGACCCTGATGTGCTTCTCGGCACCCTCGGTTTCTACACCAACACAACTCCTTACAGGTTAGTACAATCCCTTTGAAAAACTGGCAGTGTTCACTAAAGAAACGCCTCCCTATGACCCAGCAATTCTACTCCAAAGAAAACTCCCAACAGAAATGAATGCTTATGCTCACCCCAAGGCAAGTACAAGAGTGTTCAGAACAGCCCTATTCAGAACAGTCCCAAACTGGAAACTCTGCAAACATCTGTCATCCCCGGAATGGATAAATACACTGTGGCATATTCACACCCACACGAAGCTGAGTCACCCACAACCTCGCCCTCCCACACGGATGAGTAATGCCCGGCGAGAGACTAGACCAAGGCAGCACCTCCTGTTACTCGAAGCCCTCGGGCACCAGACCTCAGGCCCGTTAGGAAGGACAGTGGCTGCGGGCACGGACGGGCTGTGAGGTGCGGGGTCTGGAGAAGCTCTTCGTTGCAGTCTGGTGTGTACAAGTGCACTCTGGGCACACTTGGCAGCCACCCCTCGTGGGCAGCATCTGTGGGTGTGGCAGATCTCCCTGGACCTGGGCCATGGGCCTGTGGGGTCCCACATCCCACAGTAATGGGCCTTCCACCATCTTCCTTCCTGTCTTATGCAATGCCTCCTGGCCCTGCCCACACCCAACAGGGCTCCAGGTCCTTCGTTAAGGCCAGTGGTGCCAGCAACACCCAGGCGTTCTCCACAAACTACAAGGAATCTGCCCAGCAGCCAGTCCTCCCAGGAGGAAGCCAGTGTCTGCCGGCTCAGGACATGCCTTTCGGGTTTTTTTGGCATGATCTCGGCTCACTGCAACCTCTACTTCCTGGGTTGAAGCAGTTCTCCTGCCTCAGCTTCCTCAGTAGCTGGGATTACAGGCACTTGCTATCACACTTGGCTAATTTTTTTTAGTAAAGACGAGGTTTCATCGTGTTGACAAGGCTGGTCTTGAACTCCTGACCTCAGGTGATCCACCTGCCTCGGTCTCCCGAAGTGCAGGAGGATTCTTAGAGGCTCCATGCATGAGCCACCGCACCCGGCCATTGTGTTTTGTTCCTTGTGGGGATGCGTGTCCCTCTTCCAAGGGCTGGAGCTGCTGCTCTTGGGGACCTGCTGCTGGGGGGCCAGCAGTAGACTCCACACAGGTCCTCCTGCCTGCTGGGCCCTCCTCAGAACCTCCACAGCTGCAGGCTCCACTCCCTGGGTGTAGGTCTGAGTCCAGCACCCTTCCTGCAAACCTCCCAATGAAGACAAGTGTCCTACACCCTCGCCCCAGACCCCTTCTTGGCAGGTCCTCAGGCTGGGCATGGGCAGGGCAAAGACAGACTTGAGGTAGCCAGCGGGGAGGTGAACACTGGGCCAAAGCCAGTGGGCATCCTGATGTGTGGATTCCAAAGGGACCAGGCAAGCAGGGAGCAGCCCTGAGGTCAGCAAGGCCAGAGGGAGACAGAGGAAGCCCTGTAATCTGGAAGTGTGGGAGCCGCCTGCTGGGCAGGGAGGGGCTGTGGACACCAATCCAGCACTCTCAAGCCCTTCCCCGCCTGGCTTTCACCCTCCTCTGCCTGTTGGTGTTTCCCTTGGGAGGCATGTGCGTCCTCACCTGGATTCATCCTGGGGAAGCTGCCTCCTGGAACAGGTGGGATGCTGCAGCTCCACGCGGCGGCTGCCTGGTCCTCTGCAAAGCTGCTTCTGACAGTTAGCCTGGCACAGAAGTGCCCCTAGCTGGCTGCTCTGCCTGCCTGAAACGGGGTACCGAGCACAGGCACCTCCAGATCTGGTCCCCTGCCCGTTTTCATACAGCTCTCAAGCTAGGAATACCTTTTACATTTTCAAAGGACTGAAAAAAAATCCGAGTAATGTATGGTGTTAAGATGATACGAAATTTCAAGTTTAGTGTCTATAAATCACTTTGGGATGCAGCTACTCTCATTCATTTACATTTGTCTCAGGTTCTGTCACCCTTCAATAGCAGAGGTGAGCAGCCAAAACAGACTACATGGCCTGCAAAGCCTGAAATATTTACCATCTGCTCTTTATGGAAAGAGCCAACTGTTCACTACCCTGGAGTGTGGCTCTCTGGGCGAGGGATCTGTGTCTGTAGCGCCGCCTTGCACGTACGGGCTCACAGGTGAGTCCTCATGCAGGGCCATTGGTTCTCTATGCAGTATGCCAGGCACGGGAGTACTCGGGAGGGGAGGCAGCCTGGCCTGGGCAGGAGGATTCTTAGAGGCTTCTTTAAAATTCACTGCCTCACTCAGATACATGTTAAAACTCAGTGGAGCCAGGTGTCGTGGCACGCACCTGTAGTTCCAGCTACTCCGAAGCTGAGGTGGGAGAATCACTTGAGCTCGGGAATTTGAGTCCAGCCTGGGCAACATAGTGAGACCCTATCTGTTAAAACAAATGAGAACATGGTCGTAGGATAGCAGTCCTCCCCCTCAGAACAGTTAACATTAAAATTAGGCACAGCACCAAGTGCTAACACGGATGTGGAGCAACGGGAACCCTCACACACTGCTAACGGGAGGGTAAAGTGTTACAGCCACGCGGGAAGATTCGTATACACTCTCACCTGCCATATGACCCAGCTACTCAGCCTTAGACATTCATCCAAAAGAAATAAAAACATATGCCTGTAAAGACACTTGCACAGGATGGTCACGGAAGCCTCATTCATTAAAGCCCCAACCAGGAAACCGCCCAGGTGCCTATGAACAGGCAGATGAAGAAACAAAGTGTGGTATATTGAAATAACTGATTCCTATTCAGCAGTGGAAAGGAACAAGCTGCACATCTCCAGCTGCATGAATCTTATAAACATCTTGCTTAGCCGCAAGCCAGCACTCAAGAGCAGACACTGGATGATGTCATTTAGTTTTTATTCATTTTTTCCCTCAGTAATAAACGGCAAGCGGATGATGCCACTTATGTATCGTTCCAGAACGAGTGACGGTAATATGTCATGACGGACATCAGAGAGGGGCTGTTAGAGTCCTTGGGCAGGGGACGCTCAGAATCTTCGGGGGTAATAGAAATGTTCTCTATTTTGATGGGTGTGTGAGCCACATGGGTACATGCATTTGACAAAATGATTTGAACTGTACACCTAAGATCTGTGTGTTCTGTTACATGAAAATGATGGCTCAGTAAGAAAATATTCTTGGAAAAACGTAGGGCCGAGGGCCCCACAGGGTCGTGGGGTGTCCGTTATGCTGTGCTCAGGCGCAGGATCTGAGAAATAAAGAGGCAGGACACAGAAGTACAAGGGAAACGCAGCTGGGCTCCAGGGGCCACGCCACCTATGAGCGGAGTCAGGCGAGGCCCCAAATGTCCAGAAGTGTATTTATTGTGTATAGGTGAGGGGGAGGGCAGTGAGTGAAATCATCTTTAAGGATAGTGATAAAGTCATGAGCAATAAAACAAGGGGTCCATCCCCATTAGGTCACCGAGGCCAGGAGGTGGACGGTGCGGAGCAAGGGGTCCATTCCCATTAGGTCATCGAGGCACGGGCCGTGTGCAGTAGGGGGTCCACCCCCATTAGGTCACTGAGGCACGGAGGTGGGCTGTGCACAGTGAAGAGGGTGCAGTGAGCAATACCTCTAACTATGGGCAAGCTACTTCTAAGATTTATAGGAGGATGCTTTAAGTCACACAGCAGTGACAGAGCTGTCAGGGTTACCGCCACCTACTGGCAGCTTCCAATGGGTTCTATGGGAAGATGCTTTTCAAGCAGCACAGTAGCAAGAGCTGGTAAAGTTCACAGTCACCAAGGTGCGATTATCCGAAAGGGTTTTGAGCCCTGGGATGCTCGAGGGATTGCCGGTCTGAGGGCGGCCTTCCACAGAACTGGAGCAAGGTCCTACAGCTCCTTTGTGAGGAGAAGTGGCTCTCGCCCCAAGCCTGCCATACACAGGGTGTCTTTATGATAATGAACGCCACCGCCTGGGCCGTGGGTTCTTGTCCTGGCATAACTGCTTTCCCTTAAATCATGCTCTGCACTGTGTCTGCTCCAGACATTCCTCCGACTGTAAGCTGCTTATTCCTTATTTCATGCTCTGCACTGTGTCTCCTCTAGGCATTTCTCCAGTTATGAACCAAGATAGAGGGAAATAACTGAGTGGTGGCAGATTTTCTTTAGGCACGCATGCTAAGAACATGATTATATATAGAGGATTACATAAAGGGAAATAACTGAGTAGTAACACTATAAACTGAGATAATCTCCGAGCCCTAATTCTATAAACTCATATATGATTATATAAAGGATTATATAAAAGGAAATAACTGAGTGGTAACACTATAAACCGAGATATTCTTCAGGCCTTCATTATGCCGGGATTCTGCTTGGCTCTCCTTCCTCGGTGCCTTTATGGGGGTTACCCACAGAAAAACACCCCTTGCTAAGTCCCAGTAAAACCCAGAGAGAGCGAGAGTGACTCAAAACCCATCGGGCAGGGGCCGTGGCCACCCTGGGCCTCGCAGAGCAGGAGGGATTCCAGCAGAGGCTTCGAGCCCAGTGTGATTTGTCCCAGGGGAAGAAAGGAAGGCTCCCGGTGAAAGCCTGTTTGCTCTGCCCAAGCGTTTCACCTCGCCTGTTTGGCTTGGGTGGAGTCCAGCCAGGTGCACCCACTGAGAAAACAGAAGAGGATCACGGGTTGCTCTAGGAAATGCCGGGGTGCGGGTGTGGAGGAGGACCAATGCCCCCAGTGTGGGGATCTCAATTCCCTTTCTTTGTCCAGGCAACCTCCTATCACTCCAAAGGGGGCTGAGGACGCCCCCCATGCCCCGCACCAGGGCAACACGCTGGACTTGGGTTCACCGGCGAACGAGCAGGTCTCATGCCCCTCTCAGCGTCTAAGCTGAGACAAGGACAAGGTTGAAAAAAGTCTAACATCTCAAAAGACAAGAGAAGGTCATCTGCTCGCAGACAAGAACTCGCTTTACCTCAAGGGAACTTTCTGGAGGAAACCTATTGTTTTCAGACTGTTGCCTTCCAGAGTTCGAGTCTTCATTTTTCAAACTGCTTTACTGAGACATAATTTTTGTACCAGAAAGCCACCTGTTTGGGTGCACAAGTCCACGGTTTATAGTACCTTTATGAAGTGTGTGACCAGGCCATTTCACATTAATGCAATCATACCCTATGGGGCCCTTTGCATCTAGCTTTTTTCACCTTAGCATAATGTTTCCAAGGTGTACCGTGTTATAGTGGGGGTCAGAAATTCAGTTCTTTTAAGGCTGAATACTATGCAATGTCTGGAGACTCAGTAACAAGAAAATCATTTGAAATCTCTTAATGTACAGAAAGCTGAGAACCCTGGTATTATACAGGAACTCTCACACACTGCTCATGGGAGTGTAAAATGTTATAGCTGTGTGGGAAAATCGCTTGGTAGGTTCTTATAAAGTTAAACATACACATGCCATATAACCCAGCTACTCTGCCTTTAGATATTCATCCAAAAGAAATAAAAACATATGCCTGTAAAGACACTTGCACAGGATGGTCACGGAAGCCTCATTCATTAAAGCCCCAACCAGGAAACCGCCCAGGTGCCTATGAACAGGAAAACTCTTCCTGGTTTTTTGTTTGTTTGTTTCTGAGAGTCTTGCTTTGCCCCACAGGTTGGAGTGCACTGGCACGATCTCGGCTCACTGCAACCTCCACCTCCCTCTGCCTCCCAGGTTCAAGTGATTCTTGTGCCTCAGCCTCTCAAGTAGTGGGGATTACAGGCATGGGCCATCAAGCCTGGCTAATTTTTATATTTTTAATAGAGACAGCATTTCACCATGTTGGCCAGGCTGTTCTCAAATTCCTGGCCTCAAATGATCCACCTGCCTTGGCCTCCCAAAGTGCTGGGATTTCAGGCACGAGCCACTGCATCCAGCCTCTCCCCATTGCTTTATTTATTTAGAGATGCAGTCTTGCTCTGTTGCCCAGGCTGGAGTTCAGTGGTGCAATCTTGGCTCACTGCAATCTCTGCCTTCTGGGTTCAAGCAATTCTCCTGCCTCAGCCTCCCAAGTAGCTGGGATTATAGGCACCTGCCACCACCACACCTGGCTAATTTTTCTATTTTTAGTAGAGACAGGGTTTCACCATATTGGCCAGCCTGGTCTTGAATTCTTGACCTTGTGATCTGCCTGCCTGGGCCTCCCAAAAGGTTGGGATTACAGGTGTGAACCACTGTGCCTGGCCTCCCTGTTGCTCACGCCTATAATCCCAGCACTTTGGGAGGCTGAGTCTGGCGGATCATCTGAGGTTGGGAGTTTGAGATGAGCTTGACCAACATGGAGAAACCCCGTCTCTACTAAAAATACAAAAATTAGCTTGGTGTGGTGGCGCATGCCTGTAATCCCAGCTACTCGGGAGGCTGAGGCAGGAGAATTGCTTAAATCTGGGAGGTGGAGTTTGCAGTGAGCTGAGATTGTGCCACTGCACTCCAGCCTGTGCAAGAAGAAAAGAAAAAAAAAATCCACACAGGCCTCTGAGCTGGGGCATTTTTATTTACGAAGCCATGTGATCCCTGGCTGTCCTCCCTGGTGGGTCTGGAGGAACAACATCTCCATGCCAGCTGAGCACTAGACCCTCTTGGAAGCTGTATTTAGAGCCATCCCACCACCCTGTGCTGTGCCTCAGGGTGCCTCTGGGCTCTCCTGACCTCTACAGCGGCTTGTTGAGACAGGACGCCTTACAGGGGGATGTCTGCTTCTGAACCACGTAAATCATGTGGCAGATACTAAGATTCACAAGGCTGCACTTAAGCTCTTAAACGGAAACTTTTATCCACTGAATCAGTAACAAGGAAAATAATCAGAGGCTGTCAAAGTGATAAAGGCGCAGTGAGGCCTAGAGGGAGTTACTATTTCTCTCGACCGACCGTGTCACTATTTTTGTAAGCATTACAAGCACACTGTTCTGGAGCTGGCTGCAGAGACCTGCCTTTAATAACGAGCACATGGCCTGATGTGATGAGGAAACATGTCTCCGGAGACACTTGCCATGTCAGGAGGCAAGGTGGCCCACTGTTTTGGGTGCAGGAAGCCTGCAGAACCGGGTCTCAGGGGTCCAGTAGGTCCCCAAGCTCCTGCAGGCCTGCTGCTCTTGGCGGCAGGACGGAGATGCATAGTACCTGCCTCGAAGCTGAGGATTCAATGACTGACCACACAACACATAGTCCAGCCTGCGTCATGGTTGACACACAGCAAGCACTCCACAAACACAACCACTGTTATTCATTTACAGTTAAGGAAGATATAATGTAAGTATGCTGACCTGACCATGATTTTAAAAATCATTTTCAAGGCGAATCCAAGAATCTGATGAGCGTGAGGGTGCTGGAAGAAGCTGACTCTAACCTCTCATTCATGCAGGTCCTTCCTCAAGCACTCAGATGCCCACAGGCGAAAGGGCACATCCCAAGGACACGCCAGGCTTAGCCCTGCACATTGGTCATTGCTTGAGTGAGAAATCCTACAGCAGTGTCCCTGTAACTCCTGCCGCCTCAGGAGCCACACGGCAAAGGCCAGCGTCTGACAATCCTTCAGGTAACAGTGAAGACACATCACATTCCTGTCCAGCCAAAAGTTCCTCATTGCAGGATGAACAGCTCCAGTTGTTTCAAACATGCCCCACATCTCGTGGCTTCCACATAGGTCATATTAAAAGCCTCTACCAGAGACTGCACGCCCAAGTGCGGCTCCTCAAAGACTTCGCCTGGGGACTCTGCTACTGATGGCTGTGACCTGTGTGCTCCTGAGAGCTCTGTCCTGGAACTGCCTCATTCTCATCATCTTTGATTTTATCCAAAAATGCTATTACCCCAGTCTGAATATCACATTTGCCTTTTTGTTTGTTTGAGACGAAGTCTCACTGTTGCCCAGGCTGGAGTGCAGTGGCTTGATCTCGGCTCTCTGCAACCTCTGCCTCCTGGGTTCCAGCAATTCTTGTGCTTCAGCCTCCCAAGTAGCTGGGATTATAGGAGTGCACCACCATGCCCCACTAATTTTTTTTGTATTTTTAGTAGAGATGGGGTTTCACCATGTTGGCCAGGCTGGTCTCGAACTCCTGACCGCAGGTGATCTGCCCGCCTGCCCAGTAGCTGGTACTATAGGCACCCACTACCACGCCTGGCTAATTTTTGTATCTTCAGTAGAGATGGAGTTTCACCATCTTGGCTGTGAACTCCTGACTGGTGATCCATCCATCTCCGTACTCCAAAGTGCTGGGATTACAGGCGTGAGCCACTGTGCCTGGCCACATTTTCCTTCTGACAACCCTGAAATGGTTCTGAAAATAAAATGCACCCCGCAACAATGATTTGTTGCGCCCGAACATATTAAAAAACGTTAAGGTAGGGCATGGTGGCTCACACCTGTAATCCCATCACTTTGGGGTACCGAGATGGGTGGATCACCGGTCAGGAGTCCAAAGCCGAGATGGTGAAACTCCATCTCTACTAAAGATACAAAAATTAGCTGGGCGTGGTAGTGGGCGCCTATAGTCCCAGCTACTCAAGAGGATGAGGCAGGAGAATTGCTTGAACCTGGGAGGTGGACAGTGCAGTGACCTGAGATTGTGCCACCATACTTTAGCCTGGGTGACAGAACAAGACTCTCTCAAAATAAATATATAAATAAAAAACCAAAAAAAGGTTAAGAAACTAAAACTATAAAAATACCTTTCGGTTGACTTTTAAAACTATCTTTGTGGAGAAGCCTTCCTAATTATGACATGAAACCTGGAAGTCACAGATAAATTTATGTGAATATGCAAATTTGATCATATAAATAGGATTAGTTTAAATAAAAATAGTCATGTGCATTGAATAAAACACCACAAAGTAAAAAAGTGATCATAAAAAGGGGGAACATTTTGAACACACTATCACAATGGGCTAATTTCCTTAATAAATAAAGATCCACAATTAACAAAATAATGACAATCTTATAGAAAACTGGCAAGGCATAAGAGCAGATATTTCACAGAAATATAACAGATATACCACATGAATTAGATCCAAGCACATTCAAACTACCAGTTAGCATTTTTTTAATCTGACAGAATGGTAACGATTAAACTTTTAGGACATGGGGGAGGCCAGCACCAGTGCTTGTCCAGCAGGATGGCGGAAACATGGCGATGTCTGCTTATGCCTTGAAACTTACTGCTCTGGGGACCTGCCACCCAGACACAGGGACTGCAGGACTGAGGCAACTCAGTGGGCAGCCATGGGTGCTAAGCGGCGTGGGGCACGCGGACAGGGGCAGCGTGTGAAGCGTGGACACGTCTAAGCTCATCAGCGCACACGTCCCGAGGGAACAGAACTTTCCAGCAATCCGTTTGCTTCTTTGTACCACGATGTGCCTGTGCAGCTATTTTTGACAAACGAATCTACTTCATTATCACAAAGACACTCAGAGAGAAATGACTTGCATAATTTGCTGGGCCCAGAAATATTCCATGACTTCTTTGGTGCACTTTTGGGAAACTTCCAGTTGTTTGCCTTATTCAGGCACGAGGTTACCGGCCTTCTTTAAATGGGCCAAATTGATTTTGGCTTTACCTTTATGCGTCTTCGACTCTCAGCCTCCGGAGTTCTTTAAATATTTAAACTGGTGTATATCATGGAAGTAAAGGCACTGGCGGGGACCCAGCCCAGGCGGGGGAGGCAAGTGTGGGGAGGACAGGCCTTCTAACGCCCACCAGAAGAAAGCTTCCTAGCCCTAGTCCTAATGCGACTTTTGACTCATTGAGGGACCATCTCTCCTGCTCTCTTTCTCAGCCTGTGTCATACGCTGACCTCCAGACATTTACATTTTGGGGAGACTGCTAGGCAGAGAATAGCTGGCTCCAGTTCTGTGAGGGGTTCATTCCTGTCCCAGGTTCTCCCTGCAGCCTCCAGGGTTGGGGCTGCACTGGGTTGTGCAGCGTGGCCATCCTCCCTTCCTCCCTTCCTGAATGCCCTGCAGGCTTACAGCTGCTCCGACCTCAGGAAGGTTTCCGTCTGGACCCCTCTCCTGCACCTGCCCACTAGGAGGCCCCAGCTCTTGGAGGGAGGAAACTGTTCCTCTTTTTGTCTTTCGTCCTTTCCTGCTCTGCGCCGGCCTCAACTACGTGGCTCTGTCAGCATTCGCTGCAGCCCTGGGAGGCCCTAGGACCATATCCTGTCCTCCTATTGCAGTTGGTCAGGGGGCTTCAGGCACAAGCACTCAGGGCATGGGCTAGTCTGCAGTTTCCCCAGCATGTGATGCTTGTGGGACACTTCCAGACCAAAACCGGATCTTTGCTGAACACAATGACGTGGGGACTTACAGCTCACCCAAGGTGATGTGCCCAGGCCTCACCTGGCTGTGCTGTGGGTGGCTGGACTGGCAGGGGAGGAGCTCTGTGCTAAACAGATGCTGGGAGGGCCAGGGCCACCAGTCAGAACCCTCCCCAGCCCCAGCCTCCAGGGGTCCTCCACTGCTATGTCCTCAGAAGGGATGGTGACCGGACTGAAAATATGCCGACCCCTCTGCCAGCCCCTTTGGCAGTTTTTCTAAGCTTCAGTAAACAGGGATCTCAGGTGCCCGGTGGACAAGTGCTGCTGTCGCTCACCGAGAGGAATTCCAGAGGGGAAACCCCGTCAACCTTTTATTGGGAATGGAACACATGAGGTTCGGCTTGTGCCAAGCGCTGTACATTCACTGAAGCAACGTGGCAAGGCTGGGCCCTGGCACCCACGCTGCACCGAGAGCGCGGTTCTGGGACCGCAGCTCGGCTGACCCAGACACGGCCCTGGCTGGGCGGCAACGGCTCACAGTAGCGATACATTCACAGGACACAGTCAGTGTCCACAAAAGGGGGCTCAGAACACAGTTTCTACACGATCACTTGGCACCCACAGGACAGGGATGTCGCTCAAGCAGCACGGCCGTAAATCGTTGACAGCAGCCCAGGCCCTGCAGCCTCCCATGCTGGGAGACTCCCTGAAGGGCAGGCACCTGCCATCCATAAGGAGGTGTCTCCCTCCATTGGTTAACCCAAAACCACACAAGGTGTGAGGAGAGCAGGCCTCTGGGTGAACTCACACTCACACCCAAGGAAGAGGCAAACACGCTCAAGTCCAGAGTCCACAGTGGTGCTGCCCAGACCCACCGTCCTGCTGTCATTAACCTTCCCCTAGCAGCCAGGACAGCTTGCTCCATCTCCCAGACTCTCGTGGGAAGGGGAGCTCTGCCCTGGGGAGGAATCCGACAGGATGGGAGACAAAACAAGAGTCCCATAACAGGGACACACACAGCAGCAGCCACAGCCCCGCAGACGAGGCACAGGGATGGGACAGGTGGGGAGCCACACTGCGACCTCAGTGTGTGCCCATGGTTCTGTCCTTCTGCCCACCTGGAGCCCAGGCAGACAGGTGGTATTGGGCAGGGCCCAGGTCCAGACACTGCCCCCAGCCCTCTGGCCAGATGTGACTGGGAGAGGCTGATGCCAGGGCAGCATCAGGCCTTCTGGAAGTCCCAGGGCCAGCATGTAGAAAGTGCCACCGAAGCCCATACTGTGGCTTCTCAGGATAAAGTCATGTACAGGACAGGAGGGTTTATGCAGACCACCGTTGATGGGGACGGGTGGCTCGGCCACTACGAGGCTGGACTCTTCTGTCTGTTCAGGGAGTCGATGTAATGAAAAATGGCCCCCAGAGCCCAGCTGGTCTCAACATTGTTGATTTTCCGAGTGAGCTTGAAAAGACAGAGAGGTGGGGAGAGGGACCATCACACAGACAGGAAAGGCTTGTACATCGGGAGGCTGCGGCTCCTTGGAAGCCAGGCATGGGCTGGGGTGACATGAGCCCAGCAACCGGAAAAGCGGTTGCAGGCCCCTCTCTCCATAAAGGGGCTGGGGCGTGCCCTGAGGACACCCTTACCTTCAGCACTTTGCTCCTGGGAAAGCCGAACTCCTGGAGCAGCAGGGTGACGTAGGTGAGGTCCATGCACGCGAAGGGGCTGCGCTGCGGCTGCGTCTCCAGGGTCTGACACACTGGGGATGAGATGCACCCCATTAGGCTCCGGGTGACTCCCTCCCCAGGACAGAGGGGCAAGTGCAGACCCCAATTCCACCCACTCCAGATTCACAGACAAGGCTGCAGCTGAGTGCAGAGGTGCCAAATGCATAGCACAGGCAGGTGGGAGGCAGCCCTGGCTGCTACCGTCTGGGCTCCACAGCGACCTGCCCACCTGGTGCTGGGCCACATTTCTGCATCGAAGACCCTGGACATTTCTCCCAGATGCCAACCTGAATAAAACCTAAGCTTTCTGGGGAAAGAAAACACCAAAGCCAGCTTAGAACAATCCACTCCTGCTCTTGAGGAAGGGCAAATCCACCAAGAGCCATCCTGGGATTCTGCCTGAAGCCTTTTCCTGCTAGAGCAGAGTTGTGGATACCCAGTGTCCATGGTCACGAATAGGAAAATGACACAAAAGCTTTAAAAAAGCACTTTTGGGGGAGGGGAAGGGTAGCAGTTTTTCTGGAAAGATGTACAAGGTTGAGCTCTTTGGACCTGCACACCCGGAAGGATAAAAGAGCATGAGATGTTCACCAAGGCTCGGCCGCCGGGCTGGGCGTCCGGAGACAGCGGAGGGATGAGGTGTGTGGCGCAGGGTCTTCTGGGCTAATCATCTGCAACCCCAGGGACAGCCCTCCACCCCCACATCCCTGGCTCCACTCTGTAGGGCCTCGGCTTCTTTAGGGTCATGTGACAATCATGAACTTACTGGGGAAATCACTTTTAGGGTTACCCTAGCAGCAGCAAAATGGCATCAGAGGAGGGGGAATCAAGGAACCTGGTTCCTCATGACCCCATGAGGGTGGGACGAGGATAGTGGCCTTTTTCCAGCTGGGGCCGCCAAGGCCCTTGCCTGTGGCCACCATTAGGAGGGGCTACACCCAGGAGAGTCGGGGCCAGTGCCTGCATCTTAAGTGTCATGGGCGACTGTCCCTGCAGTGTCACTCACCGTACTTGGCGGCGATCTCAAAGTCCCCCACCACCAGGCTGCCTCCCTTCTCTGCATCTGTTGGAGACACAACACCCAGTCTGCAAGAGCACTGCGAGGCCAGCAGTGCTGCAGAGATGTGAAGCTAGAATGGTGAACACTGGCCCCAGAGCCCCAAGGTGCTGACTGGCTTCCGAGACAGGCCCTGTAGCTGCAGGGGGCCACCCATGTGTGCTGAAGGTGGCTTCTGGTTGACACGCCATGTGGTGGGCACCGGGGCTGAGAGGGTCACCCCACATTCCAACCCTGCCGTGTCCCTCAAAAAAGCTTACCAGGAACCCGGGACCTCAAATTGAGTAAAATCTCAAGTTTAAGTTCAGAAAAATGAAATGGGAATGTTTCCTGAAGCCATAGCACTGGTATGTTTCCCAAATGTTAAAAAAAAAGGACTTAAAAAATAAAGTGAGGGATGGTTTATGGTGGCCTTCCATCTTGACCACCCACCTTCCACCCAGGCCAGGATGGAGACCTGCCAGAGGCCATGGGACCAGAGGGCCAGCACCATGACATCAGCTTCTGATTTGAAACTGTTTTTATCCCTCTCGCAGGGCATACGTTCTGCTGTTCTCACCACAACAGTGACTCTGCAACCCCTTCAGAGTCCCCACAGCCTGATGGCCACCAGCCTTGGCCAACTCCAAATACCCTTTTCTGGCCTGATCTGGCTTCCTGGGCTGGGCAGGGGGAGTCAGAGAGAGTCTACATTCAGTGAGGTGATCTCTCCCATGGGGACAGGGCAGCCACCCGCAGGCCCCAGGAGGCCTCCTGTAGCCAGTGCTACAAGGTGGGGCAGAGCAGCTGAGTCTGAGACAATGTGAGTCAGTGGAGGGAAGGACCTGCCCTCCAGCAGGAACTGGA